AAACAACAGCCTCGCATAAGTTCCCTGTTGTTCTAAGTGGCTCAATACAGTATGGAGTACAATGGACACAGCATCATCAGTAGATCTATTTCTCCTGTATGCAAATTGCCATGGGTCCAAAGAAGGTGGAAGACTAGCCTTAATGTAATCCAGCACCAATCTCTCAAAACATTTCATAATAACAGATGTTAAAGCTACTGGTCTATAATCATTGAGAGATACCACAGCTGACTGCTTGGGGACTGGCACTATAATAGATATCTTCAGGCAAGTGGGGACAGAACATTTTTTAAACATTGAACCAATCATGTATGTGTTTTAGTGTACATTATAGGCTCATAAAGTCTAGTGTGGCTGAGAAGACCAATAAGAGTGACAATCCCTTCCACACTGAAGACAAATCAGTCTGTCCCCTGTCCAACTCCCTGATTTTGCTGGTTTCAGGACTCCCTCTTTGCCTCGGCCTGCTGGACAAGGGTCTCTTCAAATTGGGAGAGGCCATGATGCACCGCCTGCCTCCAGGCTGAACGCTCAGATGTCAAAGTTTCCCATCTGCTGAGGTCTATTCCTAAAGCCTTCAGATCCCGCTTGCAGATACAGTATCCTTCTATCGCAGCTGTGATCTCCCTCTGGGGCGATTTCCCTGCACTAATTCTCCATACAGGAGATCTTTTGGAATCTGACCATCAGCCATTCTAATGACATGCCCAAGCCAACATAGATGTCGCTGTTTGAATAATGTATACATGCTAAAAATTCCAGCTCATTCTAGAACTATTTGGAACGTAGTCCAACCAGGTGATACCAAAAATGCATCAGAGATAACGCATATGGAACATGTTCAACCTCCTCTCCTGCCATGCACAAAGGGTCCAGGACTCACGGCAGTACAGGAGTGTACTCAGGACACAAGTTCTTTAGTCCTGGATTGTAGTATATGCCGTCAGCTTCTTATTAAGCCATACTCTCTTTGTGAGTCTAGAGAACATGGTAGCTGCTTTCCCAATGCATTTATCCAGCTTGACATCTAGGGAGAGAGTGTCAGAGATCGTTGAGCCAAGGTACACAAACTCATGAACAAGCTCCAATTCTTGTGTGGAGATGGTAATAGAGGGAGTAGAGTCCACACCCTGGCCCATGACTTGTGTTTTCTTCAGGCTGATTGTTAATCCAAAGTCTTGGCAGACCTTGCTAAAGCGATTCATGAGTTGCTGAAGGTCTTCAGCAGAATGGCCAACAACAGCTGCATCATCGGCAAAGATGAAGTCCCGCCTGCATTTCAGCTGGACTTTGGTCTTCGCTCTCAATCTATAGAAATTAAAGAGCTTTCCATCTGATCTAGTCCGCAGATAGACACCTTCTGTTGCACTTCCAAAAGCGTGCTTCATCATGACAGCAAAGAAGATCTCAAACAGAGCGTGAGGACACAGCCTTGTTTCACTCTGCTTCGGATGTCAAAGAGATCTGATGTTGAGCCATCAAAAACTACAGTGCCCTTCATTTCCTCATGAAAGGACCTGATTGTGTTAAGGGGTCAAGGTGGACATCCAGTCTTGGGAAGTATTTTAAAAAGGCCATCCCTGCTAACCAAGTCAAAGGCCTATGTGAGGTCTATGAAGGCCACAAATAATGGCTGTTGTTGTTCCCTGCATTTCTCCTGTAACTGAGGGAAAATACCATGTCAGTTAGCTCAAAATCCACACTGTGATTCTGGATAGAATCTGTCTGTAAGCACCCGGAGCCTCTTCAGCACAACATGGGCAAGCAGCTTCCCTACAATACTGAGAAGAGAGATGCCACAGTAGCTATTGCAGTCGCCCCTATCGCCTTTGTTCTTGTACAATGTGACGATGTTTGCATCTTTCATGTCCTGTGTTTCTCCACCTTCCCTCCAGCAAAGACAAAAGATTTCATACAGCTCGGTGGTGATGGTCTCTTTACAGCACTTCAGTACTTCAACAGGGATGTTATCCTTCCCAGGTGCCTTGCCAGAGGTGAGGGAATCCAAGGCCGCTTTTATTTCTGCTAAAGTTTGTTCACTGTCGCTAAGTATCATTCAACACGGATACAGAATAAAATTCTCACAAATCCCCTTACCAAATACAATCAAGTCTACCCCTTTTTCCATGCCACTGCATCTGGAAATTTCATCCCTGTTATGCAAAGGGGCCATAATTCGGATTCCACCATCTGACATTAGTGATGTTTTTTCTCTCTCGCTACTTTGCAGTTCCAAAGAAGGATGGGGGTATAAGACCCATCATGGACCTCAGAGACTTTAACCAGTACATATTTCACAAGAAGTTCCGTATCCTCACTCTGTGTCTTTAAAACTTCCTTTTTAAGAAGCTCCCACTCTTCTTGGAGTCCTTTTCTTGTTAGGATCTCCTGCCATGGGACTTCACTTATTCTTGTTCTGAG